CCCAGGGAACAAATCAACAGAGCAGAGAGTGAGTGTATTGCAAAGGCAGATGTAAATAACTGTCCCAGTTTTGGCTGGGATAGAGTGAATTTTCTTCCTAATAGCTGGTACAAGACTATTTTGCATTCAGTGTGAGAACAATGTTTATAACACACTGATGTTTTAGTTGTTGCTGGGTAGTTCTTATTTTTAAGACATGGACTTTCCAGTTTCCCATGCCGTGCCAGCAAAGAGGTGCACAAGAAGCCGAGAGGGAGCATGGCCAGGACAGTCGATGTGAACCAACCAAAGGGATATTCCGTAACACAGAATATCACACTCAGTACATAAATTGGGAGAGGGTTGGCCAGAAGGGCTGATCATTGCTCAGCGATGGGCTGGGCATTGGTCAGTGGGTGATGAGCAATTGTACTGTATATCACTTGTTTCTCCTGCATTTTATTCCTCTCTCTCTCTCATTGTCATCATCATCATCACCATCATCATCATCATCATCTTCATCATCATCATCATTATCATTACTATATTTTACTTTGTTTTAATTCTTAAACTGCTCTTATCTCAACCCACAAGTTTTACTTTTTTTCTGATTCTCCTCCCCACTGGGGGTGGGGGACAGCAGGGATGTGAGCGTGGTACTTAGTTGTGGGCTGGAGTTAAACACAACAATAATCAAAACCAACATTTCACTCCTATAAGCCTCCAAGCTAACACAACAGCTAAAGATTCAGCTAAAGATCCTGAAAAGCATGAAACTTTATTCTAGATAGCAGTGCTAGCTACGTTTCAAGCTTGCATTAGATTCCTTTGAAAATTTTCTTTTGCAGTTACCTTTTCAATTTTGTGAATAATTTAATCCTTTGGTTTGCTGAAAGAAAACTGCTATTTTTCACTTTGAGATTGATGACTAAAACTGAACTGAACTAAAATTATTCTGGTTTTCTCTGTGCAGAGAATTGAGTAATATGTTAGAGAAAAGTCTGGGTCATCTGTGACCTGAGACAAGATCAGGGATCATTAATGTTTCTCAATAAGCAGGAAGAGTCTGCTTGTCAGCTGACACTGCCTTGACTCAAAGTTAAAAGAGAAGCTCCCATTTCTAGCCATTCATCCATGAAAAGAAGTAGACTAAGGCACTTGTTGACAGAACAACGATATTGCAATAATGCAGAACAGTGGCAGTTTTACTTCCAATATAATCCATAAAAAAAACTTTGCTGCATGGATAAAATCAAATACACCATCAACTGTCATCAAAATTGAAGCTAGTGCACATATAGCTATAAAAAGCACCTTTTAGTTGTAGTGTGTTTAATTTCCTTACCACTCTTCTTTATGAGACTTTAAAATGCATTCAAATAAACAGTTTCACATGAAGAAAAAATTGCAATGAGTTAAAATAAAACTGATGCTCCTGAATACCTCTGTTAAACCATTAGAAACATTGCACAATGGTTATTTTTACTAACCAACAAAGTTTTGTTTGGGGCTGTTTTCAGTTTACTGACTCAGTCATTTTGTATGACAGGCAAAAAATAAAAGCAATGTATTTCTGTTCATGCATCCTGAAAAGTATGAGCTAAATACCATTCTTTCCATAGTCAGTACATGTACATTTATGCAGATACTTTGTTCCATTTCTGAATTTTATACTGCTGGGGTTTTTTGCAGATTGTTCTACCAATGAGCACCTATCTTCATGAAAACATATTTCACACTTCTGCTTGTGTGTTGTCATTACTTACCCAGACAGTAACCACAGCTACACTTGGCCAGGTATCAGAAACTATTCAGGACCAGCACCGTGCCAAAAGTGTGAAGAACCTCTCTAACTAGAACTGCAGAAGTGAGCTTACATGTGCAAGACATGGAACTAAAACATAGTTAGAGCAGACAGACTCATTGAAGCACTTATGAAAAGTTAATTGCAAAGCTGGTGCTTGGTCATACCGAGGATCTTATCTTCAACTGCAACTGTCATTGTCACAAAGTAACCCTGTATGTCAAGTAGATGAAACAAAGGCTAAATGCCACTACAAGTCAAAGTGAGCAGAGACTGTATCACATTTATGCTCAAGCCTATCTTGCTTTGACACAAATAGACACAAGGTTCGAAGCTGTGAAAATGAAACGGGTAACACAGAGCCACCTTGAAGAACACACGACTTTCTCACTTTATTGGTTTATAAATACTGCTTCCTCTTGATGAAACAGTGACTAAAAATGAGCAGTATAGTCAATCTCAATAAATATTTCCAAAAGAAAAACCAGACAAACCAAAGGCCTGAGTAAAAACATGGGTTTCACAGAGGTTTTGAACCTTCCCCTCAGCAGAATGCCTTATCTCCCACAGAGTCCCATTATTTTCCCTTGAGTGCTTTTCCTTGCTCTAACTCTCTGCAGTTGATCTTCTGTGATGATGTTTTGTAACACTTCTAAAGCCATAAAAGAGCCCAGCTCTCAGCAGGGCAACCCACATTGTGTCAGGACTCAGTCTGTTGCAGTTTAATTTCCTTTGTGCTATACACTACCTAGATATACACAAAAACATTTACACTTCATTTTGCACATTTTTTTAGGTTTGGGAGAGTGTTTAACCCCCATACTATCAGTTTTGTACGTTGATATTTTAATGTACATAAAAATAGCACTCCTGCTAGTCACTGAGCTGACTAGTCAAATGCCAGGAATCTGCTCTGATATGGTATCTGACATGAGAACACATTTACACACTCCCTTTTCCTGATAAGTGGAGTGCATTAGCAGTTCCAGATTTCAGCGCAGAACCAACTGCAGGAACACATCACCAGGCTGTACAGAAAAGGTTAATTACTTTCCAAAACAGATAAAGTGGTTGACGTGATGTGAGACAACACATGGTCCCAGTACAGGAAAAATTTCTTCGTGGATTAAAACTGGTTTTATCAAAAGGTTCAAGAGTATGACAGAGGCTAAAATAATTGTTTGAAATATTCTGATATATATCATTTGAGAAACTCATTATCTCCTGTGGAATCAGAGAAACTAGATGTAATAATTCATTGCATGTGTAGCTGTTTTATCAATTATTTGGTACATATCATGGAAAAAAAAAAGCTAATAGTATGTGGGCTTCTGGTTCCAAAGTACAAGTTTTAATTGATGCCTATGCTTATTAAAAGCCACTCTTTCCACTCAAGGATTTTGGACATATACCAGAAACCTGTAATTATATATTTCTGCTTATCATCACACCAGCTACATCCAGATGTCAGTTTCCCAAGTTCTTTCCAAAGAGGCAAGCAAACCTTGCTAAAACCTTCAAGTCCTTCTGGAGGAAGGACTCCTGGTGCACTTTCTGAATTTCAGGGAGTTTCTTTGTCCTCCAGCCAACAGAAGAAGCCAGATGAATTCTTAAGGTTACAAACAACAGGGGATATTATCTGTATTACACAAGTTTCAAGGGCTACTGACTTAAAAGTCTGAAGCTCTCAAAGAAAATTTTCAAGCGAGGCACCACATAACAATCCAGCTATCCCTGCTTCTGTGAACGGGATAGGCAAACCCCAAAGCCGGATCATCTTCAGTTTTTGAAGGGTTAAATGAGTCATACACTGAAGCATGAGGGGGAGGGGAAGGAGGAAGCAGAGAAAACAACATTTGTTTCTACAGTCCTGAATGAAGTGGCTTCAATTTGGTAATAGGTGTTATACTAATTTTGAGGCTAGGTGGGATGTGAGAGCTAAAGGTGACAAATATGACCTTTCCTCTACAGGTCATAAACAGTCACTCACAGCTCAAGACTTCAAGTCAAGAAATCTCAGCATGCTTAGACCTCATGCAAAAAGAAATATCAAAATTAATATTTTTTTTAATAATAATGGAAGAAAAGGATGAGATAAAATGCAAACATTCTATACTTAATGAGGATTTCTTAACGCCCCTTCTTCTCTCATATTCTTGTTGAAACACATTTTTGAAGGGAAACTTCCTACTTGCTGGTCATCTAACTGTGGTATTTCAAATGATCTTCCCTTCTTGGGGCAAAGAGGAAGTTTGCTGTCATCATCTTTAGCAGCTGTGTCTGTTTTCCTGAGCCCAGCTATGCTTTTTTGAAGCTCAAACAGTACAAGTACGGGTAGAGGGACCTGCTGTATTTCTATAAAGGAAAGCAAATATCGTGAATGTAGTTTGTGTTTCTAACTCCATTAATAAAGTCTTACCTGCAGTCCCAAGACGTGGCAAATTTTTTCAGCCTCTGACTGGTTATTGCCTTTCTGATCACAACTCACAGCTGTGCTACAAAAGCTGTTTCAGCTGAAAAGGATGGATTCTTTTAAGAAGCATAAAGTAAGATATAGGTGTGAAAAGAAAAAAAGAAGAAAGCTGGGAAAAAAAGGCATGATGTAGAGAAGTCAGGAGTTTCTCAAAACATGAATAATGATGAGGAAGGCAGTTCTGTTAATGCAGATAGCCTCCCAGTCCCTTGGGTCAGGGTATTTCTCAGGATCAAAATAGTACCAAACTATCAGAGGATGAGGATTAGAGCTCTGATTGTCAATTCACTGCTTTTCCCTTGCTGCACTGCCAAGCTATGAGCTCCAAAAGGTGAAGTAGCTCATCTTTCCTTTTTTTTCAGGATACGTAATTTTCTTTCTTGCAGACTAATTTTAGTAAAAGATGTCCTTTGACCAAGTTGTCTGAGCTTTGTGATTAGAGCAGCTCTGCAAACTCTCCATCAGCTCGAGCATTTTTCCACACAACTATGCCAAGTGCCCCAGACTTTTATTCTGCTGAGGAAAAACTCACTACCATAGAGCAAAATCCACATTCAAACTCATTTGTGATTTGCTATCACAAGAGATTTGCAATAAGGTGAGCTGGATTTTGACTAGTTAGGAGGCAACACAGACAACCAGGTAGAAAGAAGGATGTGTAACAAAAAGTTAAACACATTGACAAAAAAGGAAAAAAATATTTATTGCTTCTCAAAGATAAAACAGAAGAAAATCCATTAGAAAGATTCTTAAACTGTTTCCCCACACCTGTTTTCATCACTGGATGGCAGGTTAATGTTAATAGCTGCCCTCAGGTTAGCCCAGAAAAGGGCATGCTTGCTCCTCTCCTTCGGCCACTCCAGGTAGGTGCGTTTTGCCATGAGAGCCTTCAGCTTGTGATACCTGGCAGGGATAACGTATGGAGGGATCGGCTCCAGTAAAATCAGGATTAAGCTGTTGGAATTCTCACTGAATAACTTGTGATGGGCAAAGTACAGCTCATAGTGACACCACTCGCTCTGCACAAAGTTGGGAGACAACACAAAGATCGACTTGTAGCTCTTCTCAATGCAGTTAATGATGTTCTCCACAATGCTCTTGCCGGGGACAAAGTTTCTCTCGTGCTGGCACAGTTGTATGCAGCCCTCCCCCTTCTCCAGGTTTGGGATCAGCTCGTTCTTCACCCACAACGCATCGTGCTCGCTGTAGGAAATGAACGCGTGGAACTGCAGAACCGTCTCCTGCTCTTTGGGGTGGTTGTGCCAAGCTCTCCGCTTCGTCTGCGTCCACCGCCACGTCATCCGCACGTACCAGGGCACATCCAGGTAGATGCACAGGAAGGACACCACAGCCACCAGCACCAGCGTCAGCAGCAGGGCTGTCACCAGCAGCAGCGTTGTATTGCAGGCCAGTTCACTCAGGTGGAAGTCCTTCAGCTCCGTGCCTCGCAAGCCTTCCGGGTACTCGCACACGTACGCTGATGGCCAGCCAAACAGCTTCCCCCCTGACTGCCTCTCCACACGGATAAAGTCTTGTAGTTCACAGGAACACTTGAATGGGTTGTGCCCAGCTTGTAGCTCCTTGACCCTCGGGCAGCTCTGGAAGAAGTCAGTAGATGGGGTGAGGATCGAGTTCATCTCTATGTTCAGGAACTGCAGGGATGTGAAGCCACTGCACCCCGGCAGGTCAGCCAGCCTGTTCGATGCCAGGTTCAGCTCTTCCAAGGATTTTAGATCAGCCAGCCCCTTTGGGACACTGCTGATCTGATTGTTTTGTAGGTCGAGTTTTTTGATGTTGACTGGCAAGCATTCAAAGACGGCATCTGCCAACTGATTGGAGGACAGGTCCAACTCTGTCAGAGACGCAGCCCACTGGCATTGTACATCAGCTCCATCGTGGTGCAGCAAGTTGTTGCTCATGTCCAGATATTTCAGTGATTTCATACGGCTGGTCATGAAGCTTACCTTGAGAAGGCTCTCAAATTTATTCCGTTGCAAGATTAATGTCTCCAGTTGAATTAGGTTGTCACATTTTTGAAAAAGGATGTCTGTTAATTCATTCTTTAAAAAATTTAAGTGTCTAAAGGGACTAACAGATGAAGGACAAATCATATGAATCATCTCTGATTCAGCTATCGTCATGTCTGCAATATTCATGTCTGCAAATATTCTGTATATGTCATCCTGATCGAAGTACATATCTGTGATTTTAATTTTCTTCACTGTCAGTGCCTTCATAGAGGTACCTGAATAGTCAAAGGCATAGCTTGTGACATCCGACAGTTGAGTGACCCTGTTAATGTTGAAGTATTCAATGGATGAATGCCATACAGTCTGAAAAATATCCATGAGAGCACTCCAGTCCACCGACACATTTGTCAGTGTCAGATTTTGTAACTCGGAGCCTTGTGTGAAATTAGATAATAAAACTACCAATTTTTTTACATTGTCATTTGTGATTTCTGACAATGACAGGCTTTCTGTAGTATTTTGTATCACAACCCAGTCAAAACTAGATTTGGACTGATGTCTATTTGTATATAGGAGTGGCAGGCTATTGATTTTTTGGTCAGAACTATCTTCTGGAAAACTGTTAGAAACAGGTGTAAGGAGTTCATTTTCCACAGACAGGCTGACATGGTTCCAAAAAGTTAATGCAAACAGACACTTGTAAACAAAAAAGTTTCTAAGAGAGCTCGTATTTTCTGACATACTGCTTTTTGTTTCCTTGGAGATGTTCAAAACTTCTCTATCTGTCCATCTTTGTTCTAATCCTGTTGGAAAACAAACAAACAAAAGCAAAAACCAGATTGTATTATTAAGTAGCTATGCAGAGACCATCAGAGCAATAGATTTTTTTACGGTTCCAATTTCTCATTTTTCCCTTTGACTCAAAAAGCAAAGAAGGTGCCTACTATCATTCAGGAGAGACATTATTTATTAACAGAACACCACTGAAATTTTCATTTGGTAAATATGTTGTATTTAATACATAATGAGTCAGTTTCTTAGAAAGCATGTCTGATTTCATAGCTGACTAAAATTTGCTGCTTACTTACAGAATTACTGCTGTGATTCAATATATTATGAAGGTTTCCCACAACTGTGCAATATACTTTGATTAGAAAGCACATTGAGATTCTCTCCTGAAATACGTGAACTAGACTCAGAGACATTATTTTAAAATGCACTTGTGACTATAAAACTTGGACTGAAACTTAGGATGGAGGTTCAAGAGTCTGAATCAAAATCTGGATGTCTTTAGGTAGCTGAGATTGGATCCTCAGTGCTTATTTTAACTGGGAAAACTGGAGCAAGGGTAGAATGTTCTCTACTTATGCCATGAGAAAATCCAGAGAAAAGTTTGCTTCTTGTCTGAGGCTGAGCATTTCCTGAATTTAGACTCTGAAAGTGGGGTATCCACTCGTCTATTTTGTCAGGTGTACACAGAGGACACCAAACACACACTGGGAATATCTGCATGCTAAACAAAAATATACCAGTCATAGAACCTCTGTACACAGAATCCAGCCCTGACCTAAGGTCACTGACCTCAAATGTCCCTGTTGTGAAAGAAGGGCTAATTTAAACACAGTTTAGTGGGAAAAAACATCATAACCATGGGTTTGCTTTGATTTTCCTAATGGAGGTCACTTTTTCTTTCTGAATGTAGGAGCTTAGGGTAGCCAGCCTCCCTTTAAGTCAGTAGCTGTGAATGCTGCCTTAAATCTCCTTTTAGATATTGCCATAACTCCATCAGACCACCCTTCCGAAAGAGGAACTGATAAGAACTTAGTTAGCACTTTCATACACATAAATCTTGATTGAAAGTTGTTTTCTGGATTTCTGAAATCCTTTTATTTCCCCTTTTCCCTTTTACCATCCCATTACTTTCTTATCATAATTATTGCCTGAAGCTTTCCACAGTACACATTAATGACTGCACTGGCTTTCAACTTTCTCTTGATATTAAAATGGCTAAATTGTGAGTATGTATTTTGAGTGCCTCTACATGAGACAGAAATAGCTATCACTTGTTGGACTAAATTTACAACCTCAAGGACTACACCCTCTGTGCCATTAACCATTCCACAAGTTTTCTCAGAATTACATTACTGGGTGTAAAATATACATTCTCCTCAATCTAAAACAACCTATATTATGAAATCTCAACAGTACAATAGCAACAAAAAAAAAAAGTCCACTGAGTTCTTTTGTAAAGAATGCATTAAACTAGGCTTGGAAATCATCTAAAAATAGTCAGATAATATGGCAGAACTTTTCCAGCCTTTTTCAGATTTTCATTTGGAAAAATTATATTCGTCGTAGCCCTTAATAGGGATCTGGCCATCCTCTATCCTATTCTTCTGATTGTTTGGGCAATTCTACTAATGTATAAACAAATAAAACATGTAGCTTCAAGAGAAATTAAAAAAAAAATCTATGTTTAAATCATTATTCCTTCTTGGGATAAATTTTCAGTAATATCCAAGGACTAGATGAGAGAAAGATATGATTCATCCATATTTTTATTTTCTTTCTCATTCCTATATCTTGGCATTCAGTCAAATTATTTACTAGTACCTTCAAACTTCCTTTAGAATATCCTATGAAGCAACAGAATTAAAAACTGTTATAACACATAACCTGTGATCCGGGGGCTAATGCTGGAGAAATTATCCTTTATAGTCATATTCCTTTTAATTCACAAGTGTCCTCAAGTCTTCAAACTTGACAAAAAGTACTTGCTATCAAGAAAAGCAACCCAGGAGGGTATGCAAACCAAGATCACAGCAAGAAATTGTCCTGTTGTTTAAAGAGTGAGAGAAGAGATCAAAACTGAGGTTTTAAGAGTTTTTCCAATATAAAATTGGTATAAACTGACTAAACTTTTGTATAAGAAATGTACAGAATATATTGAGCTATGAAGGTTCAATATTAAGATATGCACTTCACAAGTTATCACCATAACACAAAACTCTAGTGTTACAAGTATGCCTTTCACAAGGATGAAATATATTATCAAGTTAGACCCATTCCCGAACTGTACAAAAGCTATTTTCATTAATTCACTGTGACCCCCTTAACTGTGGGTGTAGTGCTAATACAAAGAGATTGCTATTTGGTCAGCTTCTTTGAATAAATGTACTGAACATAAGCAACTTTACCCTCATTTCTTACCCACACACTTGAAAGTACACCATAAACTTGCTAATAATCCTCTATGGAAAACATGGGTCATTTTCAAATAAGATGCAAAATAGAAAACAGTTCTAGCTAACCACATAAAATCAGTAAAATCAAAACTTGCTCACCAGAAATCCCTGCTCTCCGAAAAAGCAGAAAATGTACTCAGGAAAAGACAAAAAGAAAACTTCCTGTAATTCTATCCTACTGAGTAACAATATTTAGGAACGCCCAAACTTTTTATACAAATGTTTGTGCCATCTACTGACAGCTTGTAAAATGGCATTTGCTTTCCTCCAGACGTATTTTCCACATACAGCACTACTGTAATAACCATATTATTCAATTATTATTGAACTATGTGTTTTTGTGCTTTGCAATAGATTAAACAGGGGAAAATTAATCTTTTTACCAACTTCCTGTCTTTGTTAATTAATATGAAAATAAGTACTTTGAGCGAGTTTTACACTAAAATTCAAACATCTCCTCTGAACTTAATAATGATCTAAGTTTACATGCATTATTGTGATTTTTTTTCCATTTTGATATACCGATTCAGTTGTCAAGTTACTATCAAGGCTGGTTTATAAAAGTACCATTTGTCTTAGTTTAATTTACATTTAATGGGAATGGAAAAATAATCTCTCTCCTGCTCCAGCAGTGTTGTGATTGGGTTAAACAGAGGACACAGAAACAGTGGGTAGGGTTTGGTTTTCGTTGGTTTTTTTTAATTAAAACAGAGCAGTGACTTCAGTATTGAATGCCCAAACACAGGGTTATTGTCCCAGCAAAGACATAAACCAGTCTTTCTTTATTTCTGCATAATGTTGGTCAGAAATTCTACCATAGCTGAAATCTAAATATAGAACTGCCACAATACAACCTACCTTACTGGGTTAGCATACCACAACTCATTCATGATTTAACACTTCAATGATTCAGTGGTCTTGTACAGAATCCACAAAACTGACAGTTCAAGATCCACGTTACAGTCAAAATTACCATCTCTCATGGGTAAAACAATCTCCAGCTATCGTGATTCCCCTATGACGCTACCCTTCCACAAGCTCCACTGAAAAGCAGAGGGAAAAGCAGAGGGAAATCCATAAGACCACTCTAGATTTCATTTTCAATAAATACATCTAACATGAATAAATTAAAATTCTCTGACACTTAAATTCTCACTGGAAGACCCTCAAAAGAAACGTATTACTTAGGGATACAAATATTTGTTCTGCTACCACCTACCTTAATGAGAAACTTCAGAGACTTTTTCCTGATAAGCGTGTAAGTCACACATCATGATAGGTATTTGTAATGCACGCTTCTGAAAACTGTGGCTTTATTTTGTATATAGTATCTCTCTATAGTATCTCTCCTCAGTGATTCACAACATGTTATTTTGCCTCCTGTGGCAACGGTAATTTTTTTCTTTGGCAGACTACTGACAAAAATGATGTTATGATAAATTGTGGAACTGCTTTTATCATCCTAAAGGACATGCTTCGCCTTAACATAAAGTGGTAAAAAGAGGAAGGGGTATGAGGAACTACAGAGATAAAAAACACAGGTTGTTGGGCAAGAGCCTGCAAACCCTTTGCTCAACCCAGTATTTCTTTGGTGGCTGCAGGTACCCAGTGTCAACACCAACTGACTGGAAATGTGTGCATGTACCACCCAGCTTCTGTCAGAGGCATTTCCTGTAAACACAGTGATAACGAGGGTGCAAAGCAGCATCTGAAAAGCTAAATCTCAGTTGTTTAATTCTGTAACCCCATGCATCGGTAGGTGCTCCTTTTGAGGAAGGATTAAACTTTCTAAAAAGGATACAACAAATTTTGATGCCAGCTCAGTGACTAGACTCATTGAAACTTAAAATGCCCCAGTATGAACATTATCAGTTTGGAATAACCACAACTGGGTGAGGGGTTGGGCACAAAGGGTTATAGTCAATATGGAGTAACATCAGGCTGGCAACCTGTCTCTAGTGGGGTTCAGCAGGGCTGCATCTTAGGCCCTGTGCTCTTCAACATCTTCATTAATGACCTGGATGCAGGACTCAAAAGAATACTGTTTGCTGATGACACTAAGCTACTTGGGAGGAGTTGTCGACTCCCTCCAGGGCAGATAGGCCCTGAAGACAGACCTCAACAAATTAGAGTGATGGGCAATCACCAGCCATATGAAGGTGCTGGATTCTGCACCGGGGACAGGGTGATCCTGGTTGTATTTATAGAGTAGGGAACAAGAGGCTGGAGAGCTGTGCTGAAGAAAGGGACCTGGGGGTCCTAGTCAATGGCAAGTTGAATTTGAGTCAGCAGTGCCCTGGCAGCCAGGAGGGCCAACTGTGTCCGGGGGGGCATCAGGCAAAGCATCACCAGCTGGTTGAGGGAGGGGATTGTTCCGCTCTGCTCTGCACTGATGAGGCCGCACCTTGAATATTGTGTGCAGTTTTGGGCACCACAGTAAAAGGATATGAAGCTATGAGAGTGTCCAAAGGAGGGCAATGAGGATGGTGAAGGGACTGGATGGGAAGCCATGTGAGGAGCAGATGAGATCACTTGGTTTGTTCAGCCTGGAGGAGACTGAAGGGAAACCTCATTGTGGTCTTCAACATCCTCAGGAGGCAAAGCAGAGGGGCAGGTACTGACCAGCGACAGGACTCGAGGAAACGGCATCAAGCTGAGTCAGGCAAGGTTTAGGTTAGATATAAGTAAAAGGTTTTTCACCCAGAGACTGGTCGAGCACTGGGACAGGCTCCCCAGGGAAGTGGTCACAGCATCAAGACCGACAGAGTTCAAGAACAATGCCTGAACAAGTTCAAGCTGAGTTCAAGTTGCACGACGCTCTCAGGCACATGGTGTGATTCTTGGGGGGGTCCTGTGCAGGGTCCGGAGTTGGACTCGATGATCCTGATGGGTTCCTTCCAATTCAGCATATTCTGTGATTCTATAAAATTTACCCCTTTTCCGCCTCAGCGCGGACGCGGGGGATGCCGCCCGCGCCTGAAGGAAAAGCTTCTCCACCCGCGCCCGGCGCTCCCGGCCGGCGCCCGCCTCGCCTCCCCCGCCGGGACACCGCCGGGACACCGCCGCGACACCGCCGGGACACCGCCGCAGCCCGATTCCCGGGGGCCGTGAGGGGCGATAATGGCGACCAGGGCCGCTCTCCGCTGTGGGTCAGCGCAGCCTGGAGCTCGGGGGCGGCTCGGCAGCGGCGCGGAGCGGACCAGCCCCTTCGCTACAGGCGGGCGCCTCAGAGAGCCAGAGGCAGCGCGAAGCAGAAGCGCCAGCCCTCCCTCCTCCCTGCGGGCTGCTCGTCCCGGGCTGTCCGGCGCACTTTGCCTCCTCCCTCCGCTGCTGCCGACGTGGCGGGGCGGGGAAGGGAAGAAGAAGGGGGCGCGCCGGCCGGGGCACTGCTGAGCGGTAAGGAACGCGGCGATTTCTACTTTTTCTGCCGCTTCTGACACTGCGGACTCCTCGCTACACAGCTCTACTCCAGAGGCGATTTCGAAAAGAGGGGGGAGAAAAGGGAAGGGGGAAGCTGTGGCCGCTGCGGTCTTGAGGGAGCGGCGCCCTGGCTGCTCTGCCCTTGCTGGGGCAGGGGGGCAGCGGGACAGCGGGGCAGGGAGAGCCGGCGCCAGGGGTGTCGCCTGCGCTCGCCGTGCCCCCGCAGCGTCCCGCGGAGGAGAAGCGACAGCGGGCGTCGAGCGAGAGGGGAGCGCGGTGCCGCCGCCAGAAAAGTTATCCCTCAGGCACGGGGACGGTGGTCCGTGCCCAAAGGCGCCCGGCGGCGGCTGGGATTTGCCTCCGAGGCGGGATGAAACCCCTCGGGCGGAGGGTCGGCAGGTGCCGCCACCGCCGGCCCCCGTAGGGCGGCCCGTTCCGGCTGGTCGGTGCGGGCCGGGCGCTCCTCTGCCGCCCTGTCCGGAGCTGGCCTTGGCATCTCCCTCACGAACTCTCTGTAGATTAATACACTTTGGGCAGAGTTGTCCGGGTTGATTTGGATCAGGATAGTCTCACGGATGAGAGGTTGAATGACTCCTTACCCCGGGTGCAGCACGTCTCGTGTGTTCTGACAGATCTGGTAATTTGCTATTATGTGCCTTGCTCCTGTAAGGAAGATTTAGCAGACAACTGCAGAGACCGTGGCCTGAGTGGTCCCCAAAGATGACCCAGTCTTGCAAAAATTCGTGTGTACACATCTGTGCGATTCCTAAAAAAGTGCCTGAGCTAACTCAGAGCTGATCTCCGAGCAAAATGATGAAGTATGTGTGTACAGGTTTTAGAGGTTTTGGTAGAGGATTCTCATCTCTGATGATGGACTTTTTTACCCATCACGCAGGGCGTACTGTTAAAACGTTGACAATACTTACCTATACTGAAACATTTTATAGCATTTACTGTATTTGTCATGGAATACTTGTGGCAAATGCGAAGATTCTGACTTGTAAATGCATGTTTGCTGATGATAATTAAGGTTCATATAAGTTGGTGTAATATAAGCGATACCAAATGCTGTTTATTTTCTTATTCACTGAT